TATCGACTGCGAATATCTAACTTGTAGTTGAACATCTGCCTGCAGAGTGGTTAGTAACATTTATTTGCTTTCACCACGGGATATATACTCAGAGCTGAAAGCTTACCTTGAGGCTTGTGACATCTAGGTCGCCCTCAATTTCTGAGTAACACATGCCGGTATTACACTGATTGCGAGACGACCGAATATCAGCGACGCCAATGCCGTGGCCTTCAGTTGCGCCATTGGAATTCAGCTGAGCTTTCTCGAGTCGCTGTATGAGAGACCAGACTGGCTCGGCGGGGTCGATGCGGGTATAATACTCCACCAGGCTGCTCTCTTCACCTTCAAGTCGATCAAGGGGGCCTAGATACTTGAAGCAGATGACATCGGCTACAATAAAACATTGAAGGGTCAAGGTCCAACACACCTTCAAGATCGCGGGAAGTGGAGCTTCTGAAAGGCCAAACTTGAGATCGTTCGGTTGATCAACGAGATTGACATCGACACTGATAGTACGTCTTCCCGTGGAAGAAGCATCGACGTTGGAAGATGGCAAGATGCAGTTCGAGCGGTCCAGTCGGACGGGCTGGTCTGGCTCACGAAAATCAGTTGTCGCAGCCATGGTTCAATAACAGTGGTGTCTTCTGGCGGGTTGGTGTCTTCACGCACTGATACATAGGTTCAAGGGATAGTCAAGGGGCAAGAGTAGGAAAGAGTCTCCTGGGTTGATTATTTATCCATTACTAGAATAGAGTCCCTAGCATGGCAGCTGTCTGATTTATGTCATTTCTAACTACATTCTAGGCAGTCTCGTTCGGCATAAATCCCATACCATAGAAAGAGCTTTGAGGTTGGTCCACCAATGGAGTCTCAAACTCCCTAGGTAAAATGAGTACGCAGTCAAGGTCGAATCAGTTGCTGATTTTTACCTGGTCTACGAGTTCCCCGGGGATTGATGCCCCAGACACTGTGTGCTAGAGTCCTGAGGCTGAAAGTCCAGGGGAAGGCGTACCTGAACACTTGCAGTAAGGGATCATCGGCAGCTCTGTCGATCTCTTTACTAGGTGATTCTGAGTCCCCTATTTGGAAATAGAGGGGCGGTTGTATAACGCACTATGGATTCTGCTGTCCTCAATCTGGGTACTTGGGTGTACATACTCATACTTGCACGTAAGGGTTATCAGCTAGCCACAGTCTTGGCGCGTAATCAATACCTGTCTGCTAGGACGGCCTGCATCCTGCGTTATGCTAGATTGCAACTTTCGATGCTACGAGAGAGGTGACACTAACTGATATGTCCTATAGTCCCTGACGTGTAGTGCCTCTTTGCGCGTGCATGAGAGTAGTTATGGGTATATCACATGAATTACTCAGCGATGTTGAAGCCTTGAAGTATGGGCCAGACATGGCAGCTTATGAACAGCCGGCTAGCTTGTGCCCCTAGCCTATCGAAGTAATTCAATAGGCTCCCGGTCGTTGCACCTAATGATCGAGACTCATATTTTCATACCACAGGTAGAAGCCAACTACTAGTTAAGTTAAGGAAGCGAATACTCCTCAGCCTCATCTCGTAGGCATTCTTGGGTACCTTTATAAAGCTCAGTATGGGCCTGTAACTAGGTACTTGGGATAAAATCGACAGGAAATGATATTGTGTTCCTGCGAATAACTTACTTCCTCAGTGGCATAGGCCTTACATGCTCCCCTACGAGATACACATTTCTTGCGTGCCATCCAGATAAACTGCTGCTCACGATGGCAACGTAGCAGCGTCTCCACGAGATCATATCCTAGTATCCCACTCATAAAAACGAGTACCTCGAAGCCGCTCACACCTGGCGTCCCCAATTCAGGGATTGGGCTAAGAACCCTAGCGTTAGATACCCAGTCTGGTACGCAGAAAACACATATTCGGGGATGAGCCAGGGATGATCATTTACAATCCTCCCTACCAATCCTGAAAGCCCGGCATCGTGGATTTTGACGGCGACCCGTCTATTGATGTAGGTACTGTCGCTAGTCTGTTCTGCTCATAGGGCTCGTCCCACTAACGGATCATGCCATGCCACTAGTCGCTATCTGACTAGGGCGGAGCGGGAAGCTAGCAGCAACGAGTGGTGGATATCCACCATGATGAGGTGGATGCATTCATGGCTACATACTTCTCGGTTACCGGCAAATCCTACAGGATAGCGGCAGAGCTTGTGTACAGACTCATGGCGTACCCGATGGACTATATGCGCTTCGCAACCCTCGCCAGGAACGAGAACGAAGGTAGCGAGGGCGCTAGCACGTCGAAGGTGACGAACGACATGAACGTAGAATTCATCCACAAAAATATCCACTGCTGGGTTGGCCGTTACGGTCCAAATTTCTACTTGCTACTTTCCACCTGACGATTTGGCTACACCATTGGTGAGAGTACCCAGGTACCTACGTGGAATATCCTCTCGGTAAAGAGACTTTGACTCAACTACTCAAGATGGTAAATGAGACTTATGGGATTAGCCGCCAAGAGGCATTGACTATGGCCCACAATGCGGCTGATATGTCAGAGCGGATAGAGATCCTTTATGTACCGCATCTATTCCTATATACATGCATGTCTATGAAATGCCTGTACGCACACCTCGTTATCGCAAAAGGATAAGTAGCACGCTCGGCACCAGTCTTTGGATGTTGCTTCTATGCCACATATGAAGCACCACAGGGGAATTGCACCGCTAAGTTCAGCTTCCTGAGTTAAAGTTCGTCGCTGTTCTTTGCTTTCTTTCCCGAACACCCGTCTGATGAGCTCCTCGCGACCAGGAGCGACACCACCTAGTTTAGGGAGCAGTCGAACCCAGGGGCTACGCCGCCGACTTGCGCACATAAGGCGGTACCGCAAGGCCACCTCCTTGTTGATCGTGATCACGGCTCCTATGCCTCTGATGGCACCTGGCGCCCTAGTACTTGGATCTAACTCCCGCAGGATATCGCGAATGGCATTTCCGATCTGCTCGCTCTGCTCCGGCCAATTTTCCTTAACTGATGCGTGCAGGATACTGAGCGCTTCAAGGAGGATCGGTAGCCTTATCGGGCGACTCACCAGAGCACGCCAGAAACGAATTGTCTGGCTGATGTCTTCCGGTTTCGTGTACGTGAGATTCTGCGTTATGACGCCCCCGAATCCTATGGCGATGCCGCTCACGCCAATCCCCTTTCCGAAGATGACGAAGTCGGGTTGATATTCTGCCCCTTCACGCGCATACTCGGGCCTTTGGAATGCGAACGGCGCGCCACACCTCATCGCTGTCATCGTCTCGTCGACGATGAGCAGCAGGCGGTTCCGAGCGCAGCACGCTTTGACCATGCCGAATTTCTCGGGCGCCATGACGAGTCCGTCTTCCGTGCTGACTATATCGAAAACTACCGCGATGCAGCCCTTAGACTTCGCTTCTGCGAACTGTGCATTCAGCGTCTCTTCGTCCGCTTCTCTCATATTGACCACAACCGGCTTGGGACCGGCCGCTATTGCATTTATCTCCCACTCCTTCGACGTATGCGCCTAAGTGTTCGTGTTAGCCATCTATACACTTACACTTGGCGCAAAGATATATACTTACAAGAGGCCCGTATCCCGCGCCATAGATGTTGTCGGCGACCACGAAATTAGGCGACAAGACATGAGTCTCATCCCAGCCCAAAAGATTGAGAGCAAAGTTGCGAACCCTCACTCCTGTCTCCTCGGGTTTCTCGTCGGCTTTGGGTCGCAAGGTGGGAGAGTCCAGTACCAATGGGCTGGTAGCGGCGGTATTCAGAATAAGACTGGCGATGGTTGTCGGTATGAGAGAGTCGGTGGCGTGAGCGTGCATGGAAATCGGGTAGTAGCCCCCGAAGACCTTGCTGAAAAGATCGGTGTACTCGTTCAGGAGCAATTGGTATCTTCTGTCGACTGCGCCTTTGTTGACTGCATACTGCTCCCATAGCGGAAGTGTCTCCTTGTCGCCCACAGTGCTATGGTTAGTGTACACACTGCCCCAGGCACTGTGGAAGTCATGGTCTAGGGACGAGTCGCGATCCATCCCGTCAAGTCAAGGGATGAGCTACAGAAAGTACTGATTATGAGGAGCAAATACAGAGCCGAAGTAGAAAAGGTACTCGGGAAAGCCTAGCGATTTTTAGCATTTAAAGCTTGTGTTCTTTACGGGTAGCTGATCCATCTTCAGTGGTGCCGGTGTTTCCTATGATCGACAAGTTAGAAGAAATGAGGCATAATACGTTGGACGCCTCCTAGGTATGTCGCGGATGTACCTGATCGTACATGATGGGTACTCTCAAAGATCTACGGTGTGGATCACACGTTCAGCTCCAATATTTCCTCTCCCTTCTGTGTTGGGAAGACCAAAAAACACCGGGAGGCGTCCCGGAGAAGCTACAGGTATCCTAAGTAAATAGTGCCGTTGATGCACGGCCTCTTGCATAATTCAACTAGGTTAGACAAGTACAATAACATCACCTGAGGACTTACGCACGCTCCTATGCATCGACGTTCTAGCTGACACAGTGGATAGCTGCTCACCATCCTGCTATTTCCTATGCGATCACTTTTTGGTAACTACCTAAGGCAATAGCCCGTATCGTAACTATAGATTGCTCTTCTTCTATCATTCTTTGAGTAGCTACTTTGTCACTAGCCCCGGGTGTAATAGATGTTTTTTTTCCCAGTCTTTTGCCTTCCTGCTATCATGAAGTGTCAGACTGGACACTCCTTAAGTATCGCGAACACGTCAAAGCTTAAGCTTTACTTGTCTGTCCATATATGGAAACTGCTTAGATGATTTCAACGTTGGCGGCAGTTCATGGAAAAGGGTGTTAATAAGCAGCTTTTATATTTACTTTAGGATGACTTGATATGGCATCGTATTCTTCCAGTCGGGTACGAACCACCATAGGCACTGATTTTAGAAGATGTCAATATATTAGTTTGAGTAACCTCACTCCTATACACTTCGTCTCCAGGAATACGTCTTCAAAAGTCCGATATAGTGTAATGGCTAACATGCCTCGTTCTCGTCGAGGAGCTCTGGGTTCGACTCCTTGTGCCGGAACTTTTCTCATATTTTGTTTCTCCTTTTTACATCTTCACATCAGGGAAAATGTTTCTGCTGAATTATTTTCCTGTTATTTCTTCCAATTAACCCTTTGAATGGAAAAGAGGGCAGTATCATTTACATGCACAATACGATAACGAATGTTTGAGAACATCCTCCTGTTAAGTTCATGCTACCAAGCACTTACTAAGCTGACTCGCGCGACGAAAAATCACAAGATCTAATAGACGTTACACTATACCACAGTTCGTAGCCTAAATAGACATAAGGGCGTGCGTTAACCAACTGCATGCCATAATGATCGACGTAGTCTCACCATTAGCATAGCATGAGCCGTGCGCATGTCGACGATGCGATTCGCGAAGGACAAGCGCCATCGGTAATGATAACGAAAACCTCGCAAGCTACAAAAACAGAGGAGCATAATTAACTGCGTCCACTGCCAAGGTCCATAGAAACCTTTATTAACTATTACAAATCATTAACCATAAGACAATTTACCAAGAAGACTAAGAAGCTTAAAAAAGGTGACAAGAAGGACCAAGACGAACTCCAGAGATCCACCCCCGGATACTCTGTCGTCGATCAAAAAATGGAGCCGGGTGGAACCTCAGCAGGTGAAGAGAAGTGGAAGCTTCTTTAAACGTGCTGCTGAGAGCAAGTGACTTGAAAGTTTTGAACACAGAAACGGCACCTTGGGATGTCATAGAGAGAAGGTGACTTCAAGTTGATGCCCCAAGTGTCCAGGCTTAGCTTCTCCTGAAGAGGGCTACCGGGTGACCTGGCGTAGTAGTAAGTACGTCTCGATAGGTTGTTGAGGGGAAGAAAGATCGCCCGTCAATTTACAACCAGGAGGATTGAACGGGTGGTGGCAATGGCGAGATGTTTGATTACTGTTATCGGTCTGGAACTCGTGTGATATATTAAGATACGCACCATGGAGTTTCGAGCTACATTCGTAGCGAAATATGAACTAGTAGAAGTAAGGAAAACCGTGAGGCGTACCTGGCGTGTTTGCGGGTCTGTTACGTTCATCGTTCAAGTGCCAATATGCGAGTGCCCCAGCTAGTCGTATAACCGCATCGACCCACTTTTGTAACACCCCCCCATTTGCAACAACCTATCACTTTTATACCTTATTTTATAATTAATTTAAAATAATTAAATCTCAATGTATTTAAATTTGCAAAAATAATTAGAATAAGCGATTTTAAAAGATATATTATGTGAATTATTATATATATAAAAAATAATATATTATTATAAAAATTTATTATTTAATATAATTTAATTCCGTTTATATTTTTCTATTAATTAAAAAAAACGAAAGCGTATTGAAAAATTATTTAATTTTTATAATAATTATATTTAAAGAAAAAATAAAAATTAATTAATTAAATATTTAAAAAAAAAGTTTTAAAAAAAACTCCTACGAAATATATAATTATTATAATAATTATAAAAATATTAAAAAAAAAAAAAAACTAATAGAAATTAAATATTATATAATGTAAAAAATTTATAAATCGATATTTAAAAATATATATGAAAATAAAAAAGCAAATTAATATTTTATATATTAAATCGTTAAATTTAAAAGCGATTAAAAAATTTTATATTTTTTTTATTAATATTTAAAATTAATCTAAATAAAAACTTTTTATATTAAATAATTATATGATTTATATAAATTTTAAATTTATATGAAAAATATATGAAAATAAAATCATATTATTTTATTTATTATTATATATATTAAATAATTTATAATTTTTAAATATAAATATTTTTTTATTTTTAAAAATATAATTTTAAATTAAAAATTATTAATATATTATTATTAAAATTCGTAGCTTTAAAATTTAAATTATTAAAATTACGATATATTTATAAAGCTCTTAGCATTTAATAATTATACTTTAGAAAATTATTTTTTTAATATATTTAAATCTTATAATTTATGATTATTAAAACGTATATTTTCATACCGTAATATCTAATGCTTATTTACGGATAAAATTAATTATCGTTTCATTTTTTTATAATTAAACTTTCGATATTATTTATCGAAAAAGAAATTATTTAAAAAAAAAATTCTTATATTAATCTTTATTAATCGCTATAAAAAATCGAAAATTATAATTATTTTCGTATGTAAATATAATTTCGATAATTTTTATATTAATTTTTACCGGCTATTATAATAAACGGAATTTTCGTGATTTTATATTTATTAAATATTTAAAACTTATTATTTTAAAATTAATAAATTAAATTAAAATTTATTATAATTATTTTCATAAATATAATTTTAATATGATAATTACTATTTATTATAAATATAATTATAATTAATTTATTAGCAAAATCTTTTATATTAATTTTCACCGATTAGTCATTATAATAAATCGATAATTCTTAAAAATCTATTTATATTATTACGTTTTTATTTCGATATTTAAATCTTTTATATACGAATCATATATCGAAATATAAAATAAATTTATTAATAAATTTTTTAATAATTATTAATATTAATAATTAATTTTTTTACTAAGCTAATTGATTATATTAAGAAAACGATAATTTTATTTTAATTTAATGCTTATTTTACGTTAAATAATAATATAATAATTTTAATTTATTATATTATTTATTTTTTTTAATTTTTTTTCGCTATACTAATCGGACGATATATATGAAATAATACGATTCGGATTTATTAAATAATTAATTTTATATATATATATTTAAAATTAAAATATAATTAATAAATTAATTTATTTTTAAAAAAATATTAATTAAAAAAAAAATATTAAAGTTTATAATCCTAAGGTTTAAATCATTAAAATTACAATATATTTATAAAGCTTTTAATATTTAATAATTATATTTTAGAAAATTATTTTTTTAATATATTTAAATTTTATAATTTATAATTATTAAAACGTATATTTTCGTATCGTAATAATTATATATAAAATTTATAATTTTTATTTATAAATAATATATATTTTAAATATATTAAAATATAAATTAATAAATATTTATATTTTATAATATAAAATCTAAATGATTTCGGATTAATTTATAATTATTAAATTTATTATAAATAATCCCGGAAATTATCCGGAATTTCCCTCTGAATACCGATTTTCCTAGGCCGATATATTTTTATATAAATTATTAAAAATATTATTTAATATTTTTAAAAAAATAATTAATTTTTTAAACGATTTATATAAATTAAAAAAAAATTATTCCGATTTTTCATACGATATATATATAATAATAATGAAAATTAATAAAACTTTTATTATTATTATTATTAAATTAATTATTATATATATCGAAATTAAAAATATAAAATTATAATTAAATAAATATATTTTTAATATATATAAAAATATAAAAATTAATCTTAATAAAATATATTTTAATTTAATGGAAATTAAATCGGTATAAAATAAAAAAAATAAATATTTTTTATTTTTAAATATATTAATATAATTAAATATAAAAAAATACGTTAAATATTTAAATTAACCATTAAAAAAAACTTTTAAAAAAAATAATAATTTTTTGTAATTTAATTAAGCTATTTATTATTAAATTATTTTAATTTTAATTCAAAGGGATAAATTCTAATTATTATTACAAATGGGGGGGTGTTGCAAAAGTGGGTCGATGCGATTAGTATATTGCGTGGTTGCGCGTGAATGTGTAAATGTATGACGAAAACTGAGAATCGAAATTGGGATTTGTTCAAGATGTTATTGTGGCAAAGGGTATATCGAATAGATTCAGTTGATTCAGGTTGGAATCAGGAGGGGTGATCGCCGCTGATCATGAGGAGAAATGAGGAGGAGCGGTGACGAGAATGGCCTCAGTCTGGTAGAGATCCAGACGTCACAGGGGAATAAGGAGGGACTGCTGTATTCACATGACTACCCGCACTAAACTTCCTGAGCAGGAGGGTTTCGTGGCTTCAATGTTGGGCTCAGGCGAAATAAGGGAAAGTCTTGGGTTTCCCGAGAACGCGATTTCTTCCTGACGTACGTTGACCGGCGACAATAATGAGGCGCCGTGGCCAGTGTTTTTATTGGGTTCAAAATCTAGATGGCTCCGAGCTCACCAAATATGGGCAGCCAAGACATCTCGACATCCTTCGAGTGCCAAGGTACAACGACTCACTGACAATCGTTTCTTGAAACGGATGTATCATCCAATGCGTCCTACAAGAGGTCCGTCTCTATATCATCTCCCGGAACGAAGGCGACTCCGGGTAGGAAAGTGGAGGATCGCTCCGGATTAGCGACGACGGTTCGCTGTATGCTGGCGCCTCGTCTTGTGAAGAATTCGGATGTCTGGATCTAAGTGCGTACAGCTTTTGGTATATTGGAGCGCAAATCTTTCTTCTCTGCCTGCATGCTTGTAAGTTTAGGTCGTAAAGTTCTTCTACCCCAGATCGCAGTCTGCCGGATGGTAAGTAAACCAATGTACGTCCTCGGAGGGTGTGTCTGATTTGGGGGTGTAGCCGTCCATTTCTGGGGTAACATTCCGCAGTAGATCGTCTTCTGAGAAGGCTGGCGTAGCTCTCGAAAATCCCCGTCCTACCCAATACCGAACGGAACATCGGGAGCCTTAAGCCTTGTAGGCGCCTGTGAGTGCCTGCAAGCATACCTTGTTTTACTTGCACGATCTGGGGGAGGCTTGACTATGACATACCTTGGGTATATATGTAAAGCGACTCGCGTTGCTGCAGGCACCAGTGTTGATTAGTCCGGCGGATTATGAATAGCGCACGGCTGGATACATTCTGACATCTTCAGCTTTAGTCGTGTCTTCTAGGACTTGTCCGTGCAAGCCTTACCGTTCCACTGCATCTGTGAGATGCGATGGCACTGGATCGTATATAACGTTCATTATTAATCTAGACCAGCCAAGAGCCGCACATCATTTCCTCTTGTAGGCTGGATGGCATAGTTCCGGCGTTG